AAGATTCGTAATTTGTTACTACAAGTTCCTGACTAATTTTAGCTATGACGAATGTGACAAGGAAACAAGAAAAACAAAATGTAAAAATCGATCGAGGTTTTGCTGTTTCAGAAATAATTGTTTTTAACGCATAAGTAGAACTAATTAGGCTGTTTCAAGAATATTCCAATCCACTTTGATTACTTAAGGGGGCAGTATCACCCAGACTAAGGGAGGGAAACAAAAACTATCACAAAAAAAAAACTATTTGACATACACATGTCAAATTTTTACAGCAATAGTAACGTTTCTTCTGCTATAATACAGTATATAAATTGTAGGGTATATGTATGGCAATAAATTGTCAAAAAATTATTTTGTTAATATTTTATCACATTTTTAATTTTTTGTAAACATTTTTTTGAAACCATAAGTAAAGTACTTAAAATTTGGTATAAATCTTCCTTGCGTTATTGTCTACGTCCGGGACTAGGATAATAGTATTCTATTGAGAGATACATTTTTTAGGAAATTTCAAAGTTCAATTATTTTTGGTCTGACTTTGAAAAATTCTAAAATTTTCAAAATTTGTCATAATGAATATCTCCTAGACCCGGACATAGGCAACCCTGTTAAGCATCTCCAAGAGTATTTTCAGAAGGAAGGGCCTAAATGTTGGAAAACCGCAGCCAAAAATTACTTAGTAAACAATTTTTGGTAAAATTATTTATAAACATTTTTTGCATCATACGTTAACTTTCTTTTATGTGCTGTTTTATAGCTCCTTGCTATTTACTATTATGGTAAAAGATTTATGTGTGTATGTATAATAGTTTTTTTTTTTGGCAATTTTTTTCGTCAATTTTCAAATTTCTGGGTGATACTGCCCCCTTAAGACGTGTTTGACATTGGAATGACAAGAGGATTCCTTGTGACAGGCAGCTTTACCTCAAAATTTAGATTAAAAATGTGATAAGGGTACGCTACTCTACTTTGTATGCTATAATGGTGCGGTGGGTTATCGTCCTTAGATCAGCGTTTGTTCAGAGATTACGGGTGTGGGGGGAGGGGATTAAACAATTTAGCCAAGCCGGTGCCCCTGTCTCCTGGTTGGCAAACTTCAAGGGCACGTGTTTCTATTTAAAGTTCAATTTGTCCTTGTTGTGGACTGTTGGCTGTGACCGTTCACATGTGAATAACCCAAGGGACGTCACTTTATTTAACTTATGGTTAAAATGACGCGGTCGTTAACTCGATACACATCTTTGTACATTATTTCCACCCCGATGACGACTCTACGCAACTGTTTTGTAGTCTTTCCATCAAGGTTAGTAATATCATGTAGATGTGACGTATTCAACGCTTTGGTTTGGTGATGTGGCGGTTATACCAACTATGTAAGCCTTAACAATTTGTAAACCATATGAAGATTATATGCCTGTCTGTTGCCCAGCAAAGAACTGCGTTTGTTATTACTTCAAATATCAGATATTAGAGTGAGGCTGATAATGTTATCTAGGATGTTAAATTAGTTGTGCTCACCATATTTTAATGTTGAACCACAGATTTCTACATACATCTATTTGTATTACATTATGGTAGGTGTTACACTATAAGGTGCTACATGCAGTCAGTGTTGGGAAAAACATCCCCCACCATCTTCAACGCCTTCATCACCAAGCTGACACCCTTATTTACAAACTCTTACTCTCTAACCCACACCCTCCTCATCCACACACAACTTCCCCATTCACCCCTCACACACGCTATCTATCCCAAATTATCCTGCCCCAAGACTTTCCTCCACTTCTTCCCCGCAACCACATCCCCTCCCCGTCCACCACAACACATCCCCCCCCCACCATAACACCTCCTCCTTTACCATAACCAATCCCACACCCTCCTCCTTTACCATAACCAATCCCACACCCTCCTCCTTTACCATAACCAATCCCACACCCTCCTCCTTTACCATAACCAATCCCACACCCTCCTCCTTTACCATAACCAATCCCACACCCTCCTCCTTTACCATAACCAATCCCACACCCTCCTCCTTTACCATAACCAATCCCACACCCTCCTCCTTTACCATAACCAATCCCACACCCTCCTCCTTTACCATAACCAATCCCACACCCTCCTCCTTTACCATAACCAATCCCACACCCTCCTCCTTTACCATAACCAATCCCACACCCTCCTCCTTTACCATAACCAATCCCACACCCTCCTCCTTTACAATAACCAATCCCACACCCTCCTCCTTTACCATAACCAATCCCACACCCTCCTCCTTTACCATAACCAATCCCACACCCTCCTCCTTTACCATAACCAATCCCACACCCTCCTCCTTTACCATAACCAATCCCACACCCTCCTCCTTTACCATAACCAATCCCACACCCTCCTCCTTTACCATAACCAATCCCACACCCTCCTCCTTTACCATAACCAATCCCACACACTCCTCCTTTACCATAACCAATCCCACACCCTCCTCCTTTACCATAACCAATCCCACACCCTCCTCCTTTACCATAACCAATCCCACACCCTCCTCCTTTACCATAACCAATCCCACACCCTCCTCCTTTACCATAACCAATCCCACACCCTCCTACTCCATCACACGACCCCTCACCCTCCTCCATCACCTCAGAGGCGAACGACCATTCCGGCGCCGAGGGGAAATATCAACTTTGCGTCCCCCCACCCCAACTTATACAGTTATTTACATCGGCAAAATATGCCCCCCCCCCCCCCTTAGAGTTGAGGTAAAAAAAATAATGTTGAAAACAGTTAAATAAGACCGCCAAGCCAAGAAACTGTCTATTCTCTTAACTTCGACTGTGTATAATTAAGTAATGCATTTCAAGGTGATTTTTTAAATTTTCCTACCCCGTTCGGCACCCGCCCTAAGGTCAGCTGCCGTGACGGCCACCCCACCGCTCTCCCCTAGCTACGCCTTTGGACAAACTCCCCACACCCCACAAACCCTCCCCTAGCTACGCCTTTGGACAAACTCCCCACACCCCACAAACCCTCCCCTAGCTACGCCTTTGGACAAACTCCCCACACCCCACAAACCCTCCCCTAGCTACGCCTTTGGACAAAATCCCCACACCCCACAAACCCTCCCCTAGCTACGCCTTTAGACAAACTCCCCACACCCCACAAACCCTCCCCTAGCTACGCCTTTGGACAAACTCCCCCACACCCCACAAACCCTCCCATAGCTACGCCTTTGGACAAACTCCCCACACCCCACCCTCCCTCACCTAGCTACGTCTTTGGACAAACTCCCCCACACCCCACAAACCCTCACCTAGCTACGCCTTTAGACAAACTCCCCACACACCCCACCCTCCCTCACCTAGACGTAACGTAGCACGAGGTAATGAACGTTTTACCGCCACAACAATACCTCTTACTGTTACGTGTTCACGGAGCATTGAACAGGAGCTGAAATCGTGTTCTGGGGTCAAAGGAATTAGTTCTGCGAATAGATCACGTGACCCTAGGAATCAAAGCAAGCCCTTTGTCCACGAGATTGAGAGATTACAATCGTCGGCTGTTGGGTGGATCTAATACGGTCTTTGTTGTGTTTTATTCTGTCAGCTTTGATATATGGTGGGTAAGTTAGTTCAGTTAATCGTGGGGTCGGGTTCACAAAGCTCATCGTGATTTGACAGGGACTGTTTGTTGTTTCGGTAACCACGGATAGCACGCTCCACAATTTAGTACCACCCATCACACTTGAGTCACATGCCCCACACAGTGTGTGTGTATATATATATATTTATATTTATATTTATATTTATATATATATATATATATATATATATATATATATATATATATATATATATATATATATATATATGTATATATATATAAATATATATATATATATATATATATATATATATATATATATATATATATATATATATATATATATATATGGTGTGTGTAGAGGGGGGTGACACCAAGAAGTGCTGCACCGGTTGACACCCGCCCTAGCGACGCCACTGAATTAACACAAGCTATGGAGAGACCGAACTAAACAATTAACACAAGCTATGGAGAGATCGAACTAAACAACACATGCTATGGAGAGACCGAACTAAACAATTAACACAAGCTATGGAGAGACCGAACTAAACAATTAACACAAGCTATGGAGAGACCGAACTAAACAATTAACACAAGCTATGGAGAGACCGAACTAAACAATTAACACAAGCTATGGAGAGGCCGACCTAACAAATTGACACACAACCCCCTGTACATATTTGCAATCGAAATGAAATAAACATGTGGTTATTGACTACGGCGTTCAACTATAATAGCAGCGTTGTGATCCAGTGTATAGGCGCAATAAACAAACATTAAGAGGTACGATCACATGGGTTTCAACTTTCACTGTGCATGTGTATCATGAACAAACAGGCAGTGGTACGATCACATAGGTTTCAACTTTCACTGTGCATGTGTATCATGAACAAACAGGCAGAGGTACGATCATATATCCGTACCTGACCAAGTGCGTCCGTAATTTACAATCAGCATTTATTGGTACTCTACAGGCGAAATTTATAGATACTTTACAAAGCACCAATAAATATTTGAACGTAAAAAAAAATAATTTCGCAATGTAGTTTACACTTTGTCACACCAAAGTTGCAATGCAAACATTGTTTATGGTAAAATATTTTTCAAAATTGTAAAATTGAGAAAGCTAATTGTAATTTTTACAATTGTTAAAAAATAAACCCAAATCATTTATAGCTTCTGCAAACACAATGCGAAATCAGAAGTTAAAATTAGCTTCCTTAGATCTAAGAAACAAAAATCTTATTTCTTCCAATAATATACAACAAAGAACGCAGATTATCAATAGCTATCGGCTACATACTAAACTGATGTTAAATAGTTTTCAACTCACAAATAATGTGTTTTGTTTTTTACTAGTTGGTTGCTTATAACGATGTCGATTACAAGCATAAACTTACCATAGTGATAAGGTTGTTGTCGTCGTGACTCAGTGGTGTGTAGAAGTGGACCATAAACTTCGGGTCGTCTTTGTACATGTAGAAAATGTCACGAATCCAGTTGAGCCAGACCATGTGTTTGGGTTCGGATCCATGACAGTATCTGGGATATTTGATATATGTGGGATTCACGGCCAAGTAAAACGGCCTCATAAAGTAGTCAGTGGGTTGGTGTTCGAATCCGTGCATTCTGTAGTTGAAAGGTGCGATATCAACCTCAGCGTCGGCCCAGGAAGTGACGTAACCATGTTTCTGGAACTGTTTCCATATCCACGGATGTCCATCCACGGGTCTAGAATGATTCATCTTTCTCCTGGCTTCCGGTAGCTCATGCTCGTGCTTGCCTGTCAGGATCGGCAACAACGCCGCCGGCGTCCCGTCCCCCAAGATGTTGTAACCTTCCAGCTCTATCGCCTTTAGCGTGTTGACCAGATACTCTCTGGTCTTTGGCATCCGTCTCAGCCAGGACATTCTGGACATGGAATCAAACCCTAGTAGCGCCACAGACAGTCCCAGACCGTTGGCTGGAGGTTTGGTCAGCTTGAGCCTGTCTTTGATCGTCTGGTTCACAAACACCCCAGCGTGGAGGTTTTCGTGGGAGGTTACCCGTATGAAGGAATGGCACGATATTTTAAAGAAGTCTGACACAAGCGGGAAGCCATCTTTGATCTGTGGTATCGGTTTAGCGAAACTCACATTATAATCACCAGGTCCTCGGACGAGAGGGTGGTAGTCACACGCAAAATTTCCGTGAAATCTCCGGGCAAGTTTTGAAAACCTCACCGTCCCGTTGTCAACATAAACCCAGTTGGGTCGTCTAGTGCAGTCGACTTTGTTGAATTTCTTGTAGAACGTGAGCATGATCGGGTCGTCGGGGTCCTGCATGGGCTGCACGCACGCCTGGGAGGGGTCCACGTAGGCCGGGGGGTGGGGCTTTTGATTGACGAATGGACCAGCATTGTATGCCGAGTTCCAGAGGACGGCTGGCACGGAAGATATGACGTAAGCAAGAGAGAGGGCCCCAAGAATGACAACAAGCTTCTGGATCCTGGCCCTCATAAGAAGATGTCTCAGAAAACGTCGGAGCATTATGAAACTTGTAATATCCTCACTACACAATGTTGTTAAATTTATAGAATTGTAAATGTCGATAGTCAAATACGAATGTTTTCAAACTTTTCTCACACAAAAATATGAATATTCACAGTTTCTAATTTCTATCTAAGCAAACAAGTAAAAATGATTCTGTATGCAATATTTAAAACCGGCTTAACATCTGTGACGAAGGGATAATCGTACGTTATAATCTTTCTTTAATTAAATCCATCAGTAAGTTGGATTATGTAGGATTAACTTCAGTCGATAACCACTAAAAGTTTCTAAGCTGTGCGCGGTGAAATAGAGCGCGCGTGTTCTAATCCTAGAGCAACATCCAATGTTCTATCTCTTGTTTGTCAGAAGTCAAGGTTCTAACGGCAGCTAACAGAAGCCAACGCCTTAACGACAACTAGCAGACGTCAATGTTTTAACGACAGCTAATGAGGTTTTAATTTACCACCCATACTACGTGAGTTCGACGCGTGATGTCAGCCGATCACCGAACAGTTAGGTCCTTTTAAACGGAAACACAACAGTAAGTGCCGTCTGTCTAGCGCAGCGCCGCATTATAGGCTGGTGCACTGCCCTTGGCTGGAATCAAAAGCCGCCTGACAATACAGATTGCAAGGCGCTGGGACTAGCGCTAATAATGCTCAACTAACTCGGCATAGCGGGGGTTGGTTCGTTCGGAAACATACAAGGACCAGACTGTTACGTATTGTGTGATTTGTCACGTTTTGGTCAAGTCTTCGATCATACTGGGAGCTGGGGGGGGGGGGGGGGGGGGGGTGGAGCTGTGTGGGGCGGGGTGGGTGGTTGGGGCAAGTATGGGTGGGGGGTGAGAATGGCTGGAAACATGCTTTGTCATTGAATTGTCAGCAATATTTTATATGTGGCTTATGTATAGTTGACAGTCACGCATATCAAATTTTACGATTGGCTCCTAAATACATACAGTTATAGATGAAATCGAATCGAATTACAGGTTGCATCAATCGTTCGCGGTTTCTTTGCATACTACTTGCGATGAAAACTGTTAGAACAGTTTATTTTAGCGGATACAACTGGAGATTATCACTTTAATTAACATTTTTTTTAATTTATGCGGCTAGTTCAACAGCTTTAAATAAAACAACTATTACATCACATAGTCCACTGCTTCAAGTTTAACAAGAAATACCACGATTTATATATATATATATATATATATATATATATATATATATATATATATATATATATATATATATATATATATATATATTAGCACACACTGTTTTATAAGATCACACAATAGAAACGGTGAGTCAGCGATGAAACAGCCATAAAATATGACAAAAGGCACATCTATAAATAGACATCCGCTATTATCATCTAACACAATATTTGAATAAGCCTAGATCCATATCCAGCAGAAACTCGCGGTTATTCCACCCCGCTTAGAATGTTTTAAACCGCGTCCTTCATTTTGACCCTTAAGATGTCGGGTCGTTAATCTCTGGGGTCAAAGGTGGCGAGCTATCGGGTCGAGTGAACAAACAGCTTGCAGTAACTAAGTTAACTCCACACATAATGGAGAGGGGGGTAGGGGGAGAGGGGGTGAGGGGAGAGGGGGTGGGGGATAATTTATCCTCGAGTACCTACCGGAAAATTGTTGGATTACACATATTTGGGGTGCTATATCCATGAGCAACTTAGTTGAATTGTTACACTGTACTCATTGAGAAAGCTATATCAATGAGAGCCTCCAAATGAATTACTACACCTCACACAAATGGGGTGCTGTGTTTCAACACACCTCCAGATGAATTGTTACACCGCACACAACGGATGTGCTATATCCATGAGCACCTCCAGATGAATTGTTACACCGCACACAACGGATGTGCTATATCCATGAGCACCTCCAGATGAATTGTTACACCGCACACAACGGATGTGCTATATCCCTGAACACCTCCACATGAATTGTTACACCGCACACAACGGATGTGCTATATCCATGAGCACCACATGAATTGTTACACCGCACACAACGGATGTGCTATACCCCTGAGCACCTCCAGATGAATTGTTACACCGCACACAACGGATGTGCTATACCCCTGAGCACCTCCAGATGAATTGTTACACCTCTCACACTGGATGTGCTATATCCATGAGCACCACATGAATTGTTACACCGCACACAATAAAAGTGCCGTCTCCCCCATGCACTGTACATTACACTGTGGCTCCCAGCAGTGTGTTGCTGTGGTGAGTGGTCCTATGTCGGGCCAGCGTCGTATGTAGGTGTAGGTCACACCTGGCTCAGTGGTACTTATATGTTTAATGTTCTAGCCTAGTCGCCTGTCATAGGTGAGTTGTGTTCATGGTAGGTTGACACAGGTAGGCAAGTCTCAATCTACTAGGTTTAACATTATGTTGATATGCGTAGCAAAGTCTCAATCTACTAGGTTTAACATTATGTTGACACTGGTTGAAGTGTCGCAGTCTACTGGGTTTAACATTATGTTGGCACAGGTATGAATGTCTCAATCTACTAGGTTTAACATTATGATGACACAGGTAGGCAAGTCTCAATCTACTAGGTTTAGCATTATGTTGATAGAGGTAGGCAAGTCTCAATCTACTAGGTTTAACATTATGATGACACAGGTAGGCAAGTCTCAATCTACTAGGTTTAGCATTATGTTGATAGAGGTAGACAAGTCTCAATCTACTAGGTTTAACATTATGTTGACACTTGTTGAAGTGTCTCAATCTACAAGGTTTAACATTATATTGACACAGGTTGGAAAGTCTCAATCTACAAGGTTTAACATTATATTGTCACAGGTTGGAAAGTCTCAATCTAATAGGTTTAACATTATATTGACACAGGTTGGAAAGTCTCAATCTACAAGGTTTAGCATTATGTTGATAGAGGTAGGCAAGTCTCAATCTACTAGGTTTAACATTATGTTGACACTGGTTGAAGTGTCTCAATCTACAAGGTTTAACATTATATTGACACAGGTTGGAAAGTCTCAATCTACAAGGTTTAGCATTATGTTGATAGAGGTAGGCAAGTCTCAATCTACTAGGTTTAACATTATGTTGACACTGGTTGAAGTGTCTCAATCTACAAGGTTTAACATTATATTGACACAGGTTGGAAAGTCTCAATCTACTAGGTTTAACATTATATTGACACAGGTTGGAAAGTCTCAATCTACTAGGTTTAACATTATATTGACACAGGTTGGAAAGTCTCAATCTACTAGGTTTAACATTATATTGACACAGGTTGGAAAGTCTCAATCTACTAGGTTTAACATTATATTGACACAGGTAGAGGTGTCTCAATCTACTATGTTGATACAGTTAGAAGTGTCTCAGTCTACTAGGATTAACATTATGTTGATACTGTTAGAAACGTATCAATGTACTAGGTTAAACATTATATTGATACAGGTAGAAAAGTCTCAATCTCCTAGATTTAACATGCAAACGGTTCGTTGTTTACTGTGTCGTGTATATGTTTCTGAGTGTGAGTGCGAGTGTAGGGGGGGGGGGAGTGACCCGCTTAGCCCTGTATTTAACCACAAATAAAATCCTTAAAAAAAAACTTTTTAAAAAACCACGTTTTTCTTGTGGACTAAAAAGTAGAAAATAACTATTTACATACATTTGATGACAAAAAACGTGGGTACGTTCACCATCAAATTTCCCGACCCATCTGCCCGACCCACGTTTTTTGTCATCAAATGTATGTAAATAGTTATTTTCTACTTTTTAGTCCACAAGAAAAACGTGGTTTTTTAAAAAGTTTTTTTTTAAGGATTTTATTTTCTCCTTTTTAGTCCGTTGCTACACATGAAAAACGTGGTTTTTAAAAAAGTGTTTATAAATACACGGACTAAAAAAATCTTGAGCGACCAGGATTCGAACCTGGGTTGTCGCGGCCACAACGCGAAGTACTAACCACTATACGATCACGGCCAGCGCGCTCACATCGATTGGGGCCGAAGTAACTGTGTCTATAGGCCTCCAGTCTTGTCGGTATCTTTAGAAATCATGTCCTCAATTTTATGGTCCTTGGGGCGTAATTAAATTAAGCTAATTACGGTCTCTAATTGCTAGTTTTTATGATTGCATCTGAAATTGTTAGGCGAAAGTAACCTGCATGCCAAATTTCAGAACTATAGAACAATCAGAAGTGGGCTAATTTTCGATGTCAATTTTAACAACAAACACATCCACGCGAAGCTGAGTTAATAAAAACGTGTTAAAAATGGCGTTTGAATTTGTTGAACTAGTCTAGGGCGGGGTAAGAGTGCTGTGGTGAGCTGTGTCGGGTTAATGAAAACATTCATTAAGCGGCTTATGTGCAGTCGTCCATCTTACCTGTGTGGGGGCTCATGTATCAAAGGTTTGTGTATCGATCACCTGATGTTCTCTGGGCAATACGTCAATGTGATCATTGAGACGTAACGTAAGCCATCACAGGGGCGTGGCATAACTAAGCTTACGAATGATGCGGCTGTTTGGTGGGGTTAAGGGTGGTGGGGTCAGGGGTGGTGGGGTCAAGGGTGGTGGGGTCAAGGGTGGTGGGGTCAAGGGTGGTGGGGTCAAGGGTGGTGGGGTCAAGGGTGGTGGGGTCAAGGGTGGTGGGGTCAAGGGTGGTGGGGTCAAGGGTGGTGGGGTCAGGGGTGGTGGGGTCAAGGGTGGTGGGGTCAAGGGTGGTGGGGTCAAGGGTGGTGGGGTCAGGGAAATTAATTGCTTCTACGGCATAGTGACGTAACAAATGAGGAACACTGATTTTAATTCTACAAAAACATTTGCTTAATTAATTGTGGGAGTCAGACACAAAAATAAAATACTGTATGTGCAAAAATGTAGTTATGTCTGGTGTTTTAGTATGTAGGGTGTACATGAGTCCACCCAACTCTGATAGGTACCAGTGTTTCTTTCAAACTATTTCTTCTGGGGAGGGGGGGGGGGTACTT